TAAGATGCAAGGAATGGCGAGGTGCGGTGGCTCACACCTGTAATCCCAGCACTTTCGGAGGCCGAGGTGGGCGGATCAGGAGGTCAACAGCTCGAGACCATCCTGGTCAACATGGTGAAACCCCGTCTCTACTAAAAATACAATAATTAGCCTGGTATGGTGGTGGACACCTGCAGTCCCAGCTACTCGGGAGGCTGAGGCAGGAGAATCTCTTGAACCTGAGAGGCGGAGGTTGCAGTGAGCCAAGATTGCGGTCCTGCACTCCAGCCTGGGCGACAGAGCGAGACTCTTGTCTCAAAAAAAAAAAAAAAAAAAGGACACAAGGAGTACATTTGGAGTTCCATAAGAGAATAAGGTGTATAGACTTAACACAAAAATACTGTATTCAGGTGATGGACACCCTAAATATCCAGATCACCACACATTTTATACATGTAATAGAATTTCTCATAGAACCCCTAAATTTGTACAAAACAAGAAAACACAAAAAAGTAAAAAAAATCTACTTTCAACAGTTTTGAAATGCACAGTACTTTAATATTAATCAACAAAAATAAAAATAAAATCTATGCTGAATAATTTTGAAATGCACGGTACTTTATTATTAACAAAAATAAAAATAAAATCAACTCTGAACAATTTTGAAAGGCACAGTGTTTTAACAAAAATAAAAATAAAATCTTCTCTGAACAATTTTGAAATACCCCGTACTTCATTATTATTAAAAAAAAACCTACTCTGAACAATTTTGAAATGAACAGTATTTTATTATCAACAAAAATAAATCTAAAATAAAACCTATAGTGAACAATTTTGAAATGCACAGTACTTTATTATTATATATATATATATATATATATATATATATAACCTACTGTGAATTTTTTTCTTTTTTTGAGATGGAGTCTCACTGTGTCACCCAGGCTGGAGTGCAGTGGCACTATCTCGGCTCACTACAACCTCCGCCTCCCGGGCTCAAGTAATTCTCCTGCCTCTGCCTCCCGAGTAGGTGGGATTACAGGCACCCACTACCACACCTGGCTAATTTTTGTATATTTAGTAAAGACGGGGTTTCACCATGTTGCCCAGGCTGGTCTCGAACTCCTGACCTCAGGCGATCCACCCAACTTGGCCTCCCAAAGTGCTGGGATTACAGGCGTGAGCCATACTCTGAACAATTTTGAAATGCACAGTGATTTATTATTAATTAACCAAAATAAAAATGAAACCGATACTGAACAATTTTGAAATGCACAGTACTTTAGTAATAAAAAAATATTATTTACTAACAAAATATTATTGTTATTATTAACTAACAAAATATAAAATCTACCCTGAACTATTTTGAAATGCACAGTACTTTAGTAATAAAAAAAATATATAAAACCTACTGTGAACAATTTTTTTCTTTTTTTTTTTTTGAGACACAGTCTCACTATGTGCCCAGGCTGGAGTGCAGTGGCACAGTTTGGGCTCACTGCAACCTCCTTCTCTTGGGCTCAAGCGAGTCTCGTGCCTTAGCCTCCCGAGTACATGGGATTACAGGTGTGCAGCACAACGCCCGGCTAATTTTTGTATTTTTAGTAGAGACGAGGTTTCACCATATTGGCCAGGCTGGTCTTGAACTCCTTTCCTCAGGTGATCCAAAGTGCTGGGATTACCGGCATGAGCCAGTGCGCCCGGCCCTACACTGAACAATTTTGAAATGCACCGTTTTATCATTAACACAAATTAAAATAAAACCTACTCTGAACAATTCTGAAATGCACAGTGCTTTATCATTAATTAACAAAAATTAAAATAAAACCTACTCTGAACAATTTTGAAATGCATGGTACTTTATTATAAATGAACAAAATAAAAATAACCTGTACTGAACAATGTCGAAATGCACAGTGATTTATTATTAATGAACGAAAACGAAACCTACTGTGAACAAGTTTGAAGTGCAGTGTTTTATTATTAATTAACAAAAATAAAACTGACTCTGAACAAGTCTGCAATGCACAGTGCTTTATTATTAATTATGTCACCGTGCTAGGCAGTAGCTGTGCAGAGCTTATTCCTCCTGTCTAAACCAAACTCTACATTACCTGATTATTTGTACTTTTATGAGCAACAAAAATAAAAATGAAACCTACTCTGAACTAGGTTGAAATGCACAGTACTTCATTAATTTATTAAATCATATCTGTTAGCCTATATTAACAAAAAAACCTACTCTGAACAATTTTGAAATGCATAATGCTTTATTATAAACTAACAAAAATAAAAATAACCTACTCTGAAGAATTTTGAAATGCAGTGTTTTATCATTCTCAAAATTAAACCTACTCTGAACAGTTTTGAAATGCACAGTGCTTTATTATTAATTAACAAAAATAAAACCTACTCTGAACAGTTTTTGAAATGCAGTGCTTCAGTATCAATTAACAAAAATAAAACCTACTCTGAACAGTTTTGAAATGTACTGTTTTATTATTAATTAACAAAAATAAAACCTACTCTGAACGGTTTTGAAATGCCCAGTGTTTTATTATTAATTATGTCACCGTGCTGGGCATAGCTGTGCAGAGCTTATTCTTCCTGTCTAAACCAAAACTCTGTATGATCTGACCAACATCTCCCGCCGTGACCTCCCCAGTCTCTGCTACCCACCCTTCTACTCTTGCTTCTGTGAGTTTGACTTTTTTAGATTCCACGTAGCAGTGAGACCATGTGCTCTTCATCCTTCTCTCTTTCTTGTTTGATTTTGTTTGTTTTGTTTTTGTTTTTGTTTTTTTTCAAGATGGGGTCTTGCTCTGTCACCCACGTAGCAGTGAGACCATGTGCTCTGCTCTTCATCTTTCTTTCTTGTTTGTTTTTGTTTGTTTGTTTTGTTTTTGTTTTTTTTTTAAGATGGGGTCTTGCTCTGTCACCCAGGAGGTGGCACGATCTCGGCTCACTGCAACCTCCGCCTCCTAGGTTCAAGCGATTCTCCTGCCTCAGCCTCCCGAAGAACTGGGATTACAGCCCCGCGCCACCATTCCCAGCTCTTTTTTTGTATTTTCAGTAGAGATGGCGTTTCAGCATATTGCCCAGGCTGGTCTCCAACTCCTGACCTCAAAGGATCCACCGACCTTGGCCTCCCAACATCCTGGGATGACAGGCGTGAGCCACCGCACCTGCCTCTGTCTTTCTTAATTTCACAGAAGAGGATTGATTTGGCCCGAGTGCAAGAGTTAGGTCTCAGCTGTGGTCTGGACCCGTGCATGAGAACCTCAGTTCCAACTCTGGACCGTGCGAGGGTCCCAGCCTCACAGGTGTACTGAATCCAGGTCCAAGCGTCATCATCTCACCTGTGCACTTGGATCCACATAGGAGAGGCACAATTCCAACTGTGGACTGAGTCTGCCTGTGAGACTCAGAACCTCACCCGTGGGCTGTGTCTATGGTGGGGGTCACAATCCTGTCGGCTGAGTGTACCTACGAGACTCACCATCTTACCTCTGTGCTGGGTCCTGTTAGTGATACAGGAGAGAGAAAGAAATCATTTAGGTGTGGCTGGGTACGGTGGCTCATGCCTGTCATCCCAGCACTTTGGGAAGAAGCCAAAGCAGGCGGATCACCTGAGGTCGGGAGTTCGAGACCAACCTGACCAACATGGTGAAACCCCGTCTCTCCTAAAAATACAAAAATTAGCTGGGCGTGGTGGCAGGTGCCTGTCGTCCCAGCTACTTGGGAGGCTGAGGCAGGAGAATCGCTTGAACCCGGGAGGCAGAGGTTGTAGTGAGCTGAGATCGCACCACTGCACTCCAGCCTGGGCGACAGAGCGAGACTCCATCTCAAAAACATAAATGGATAAATACATAAATAAATAGAAAAAAAAGAAATTGTTTAGGTGGAGAGTTAGGGTGAAAGGACCCCCAGAGAAAACTTTCCTTCTAACCAAAAGCAGCTCGCGGCCACGGTGGCTCACGTCCGCCAGAGAGGCACGCGGTACATCAGCCGGGCAGGCATGCGATGTAAAAGTATTGTCATACCTTTGCAGTCTTGTATCTGCAAAGACCCTGTTTGCACGTACCCCATTCTGACATTTCTGTGCATGTGAATTTAGCGGAAGGAGGCACTTCTGTTTTCCCCTTTCATTCTCCCAATGCCTGCTGAGGAGAAAATAGAGTTCGAGAGCGGTCCACAAGAAGAAATAACAGGGAATGCGTGTTCTCGTTTCTCCTCACTGCACGCAGAGAAATCCGTTCTGCATTTCCCCTCAGGATGATCGGAGGGCCCCTCACGTTCTCTTTTGTGCACCTGTGAGTCAGAATTCGCGGTTCTCGCTGCACCACGGCCCGAACACTTGGGAAGTTGCTCTCTGGCTTTGCCGCCACAGTAAGACCTGGAAGATGGTAGTGACCTTCGCAGTGATTCAGAATAAAAAAAATAAAGTCAGCCTTGTCCATATTTCACTGTCTCATGGTTTCTTGCATATAAACAGGATCCTAAAGCTTTTATTTTAAGTTCAGGAGGATATATACAGGTTTGTTATAGGGGTCAACTTTTGTCTTGGGGGGTTGTGGTTTGAACCCAAGAACACCTGAGACAGGCCTCAGTTAATTTAGAAAGTTTCTTTTGCCAAAGTTGAGGATGTGAAGATGGGTACCCATGACACAGGCTCAGAAAGTCCTCAGGTCATGTGTCCAAGGTGGTCAGACGACAGCTTGGTTTTATACTTTTTTTTTTTTTTTGAGACAGTTTCACTGTGTCTCCCAGCCTGGAGTGCAATGGCACGATCTCGGCTCTCTGCAACCTCCACCTCCCAGGTTCAAGCGATTCTCCTGCCTCAGCCTCCTGAGTAACTGGAATTACAGGCGCCCGCCGCCGTGTCCGGCTAATTTTGTATTTTTAGTAGAGACGGGGTTTCACCATGTTGGCCAGACTGGTCTCAAACTCCCGATCTCAGATGATCCGCCCACCTCGGCCTCCTCCCTAAGTCCTGGGACTACAGGCGTGAGCCACCACGCCCGGCCTTACACATTGTAGAGAGATGTGAGACATCAGTATATGGAAGAAGTGCGTTGGTTCTGTTAGGAATGCTTGTTTCTCCGTGCTGTAAAGAAATAGCCCTTGAACATAAATTTCATTTCCTCAGCCAGGCCGTTTTTTTACTTTCTGCAGAAACGGTACACTTGCCAGCAGTTTGGCCACTAGAGTACCCAGAACAAAGGCGACAGGGTCATTTATAACCTGACGCGTCCACCCAACGCTGTGTCCGGTTTCCATGGGCTGGAACGGGGGCCCTCACATTCCGTATTTGTCCCGACTGGCCAGCAACTTAGAACTTTTTTAAAAGAGGCAAAGGCAGAGGAGAACAAAGGAAGGAGGGAGTCACTTGTGGAACGCTGAGAAAGGTAAAAACACCTGCAAAGAAGGAAGAGGAACAGGCTCTGACCTCATGCTTGCTTGGACCAGGATAAGCATCCCAGGGCGGATATTTAGGCTACACTGTGGGAGCTAGGAACACAAAGAACATGGATTTCTTTATTACGGCTAGCAGAGATTTCAGAACGTTAGCACAGGTCTTTGAATACATTTCACTTCTAAGAGAAGTTCGTATTTATTCCTAATTAGACGGGGCGGAAAGTCTTTGAAGAGGAACCTCTACTCTCCTGTTTACCGTTGGGTCTGGAAAGGCGGGACAACCTGAAGCAAAGGCAGGAAGACTGGAAGCGGGGAGGGAGCCTCAGGTCACAGAAGGTGCGACACAAATGGTGACATTTTTCTGAGTTTCCGAGGAGCCTTTCCAAAGGAGGCGATCCGATATGCATCTATCTCACCGAGCAGAGGGAGGACTTGAATACAATGGGAGGCAGGTTTGCCCTGAGCAGTTTCCAGCTTAATTTTCCTTAGTGATTTTGGGGGTCCAGGATATTTTGCCTTCACTGTTGAATTAACTGTTTTATCAGCCAAGTATTAAGCCCAGTACCTAAAAGATATTTTTTCCTGATTTTCTTCTTCCCCTACCTTCCACCCTCTGCTAGGGCCCACTGTGTGCTCCTTCTCTCCGTGTGTCCATCTGTTCTCATCACTGAGGTCCCACTTGTAAGTGAGAACATGTGCTATTTGGTTTTCTGTTCCCACGTTTGTTTGCTGAGGATAATGGCCTCCAGTTCCATCCACATTCCTGCAAAGGACATGATTTTATTCCTTTTTTATGGCTGCATAGTATTCCATGGTGTATATATACTACACTTGCCTTATCCAGTCTACAACGGATGGACATTTAGGTTAATTCTATGTCTTGGCCATTGTGAGCAGTGCTGCAGTGAACATATGTGTGCATGTATCTCTGTTTTTTTTTTTTGTTCTTTGAGACACTGTCTTGCTCTGTTACCCAGGCTGGAGTGCAAAGGCACAATCTCGGCTCCCTGCAACTTCCGCCTCCCAAGTTCAAGCAATTCTCCTGCCTCAGCCTCCCAGGTAGCTGGGATTACAGGTGCCCATCACCATGCCTGGCTAATATTTTGTATCCTCATTAAATCCAGTTTTTAATTAAATGCAGCTATTTTCCTGCTGAGAATTCATTCTTTCATTTATCTATGCATATATATACATACACACACACACACACACACATATATATATTTTTTAATTTATGAATTTGCCCAGGCCAGGCACAGTGATTCATGCCTGTAATCCCAGCATATTCGGAGGCTGAGGTAGGAGGATTGCTTGAGGCCAGGAACTCAAGGATAGCCTGGGCTACAGAGGGAGACCTCGTCTCTCCAAATAATAATAATAAAAAAAATTAGCTGGGCATGGTGGTGTGTGCCTGCAGTGTCAGCCCTCAAAAGGCTGAGCCTGGAAGATTGCTTGAGTCCAGGAGGTCAAGGCTGCAGTAAGCTGTGATCATACCCGTGTATTGCAGCCTGGGTGCCAGAGCTAGACCCTGTATCTAAGAAAATATACATATATATACACATATATATACACACACACACATGTACCTACTCTTACTTACATTTCTTTGTGTATCATTGGCTTATTTTGAGGTTTAAAACCAGAATCAAAGAAAATTGATTGGAGGATCACCTGACTGAAGCAAAATTCATCTCTCCCACCAAAAGGAAGGATTTGCCAGCCGGAGTTCGCATCTGAAAATCAGCAGTAATAATCCTGCTAAGCACATCGAAACAGGTCAGCCTGGCTCTACAGGTCAAAATCATAAAAGGTCAAAGCATTTCTTAAAGCATTAAGACCCACTCAATACACTAAGCACGCTTTTTGGGAGGTGCAATATACAATTCCAGATCTTTATGCTGCTTTTTTTTTTTTTCTTTCTTTTTTGAGACGGAGTCTCACTCTGTCGCCCAGGCTGGAGTGCAGTGGCGCGATCTCGGCTCACTGCAAGCTCCACCTCCTGGGTTCACGCCGTTCTCCTGCCTCAGCCTCCCGAGTAGCTGGGATGACAGGTGCCTGCCACCACGCCTGGCTAACGTTTTGTATTTTTAGTAGAGACAGGGTTTCACTGTGTTAGCCAGGATGGTCTCGATCTCCTGACCTTGTGATCCGCCCGCTTCGGCCTCCCAAAGTGCTGGGATGACAAGTGTGAGCCACCACGCCCAGCCTATGCTGCTGTTTTAAAAAAGAATGACCTGCCAGGTGAGGTGGCTCACGCATGTCATCCCAGCACTTTGGGAGGCTGAGGTGAATGGATCACCTGAGATCAGGAGTTCCAGACCAGACTGGTCAACATGGTGAAGTACAGTCTTTACTACAAATACAAAAATTAGGCCTGCGAACCACCGCGCCCGGCCTTGGTATTTTGTTATGGTAGACTTAGCATGTGCACACAGAACTTAACAACTTATTTTGATATCAAGTACGATCGACTCTGCTCAACAGAATTTCAGCCACCCGGCCAGCAGATGCCACGTCCAACATGCCTGCCATGGAAACCTGTCCCAGTCAAGCAGTACCTATGGATGCGTGTAGCAGATACAATAAAGTTAGCTCCAGGAAGTAATTGTCTCACCCACCCCATAGACTGCACACATCATACAGGACTGGAGAAAATAACTCAGGCTTGGGTTGCTCACGCCTGTAATCCCAGCACTTTGGGAGGCCGAGATGGGCGGATCACGAGGTCAGGAGATCGAGACCATCCTGGCTAACACGGTGAAACCCTGTCTCTACTAAAAATGCAAACAATTAGCCGGGTGTGGTGGCAGGTGCCTGTAGTCCCAGCTACTCGGGAGGCTGAGGCAGGAGAATGGCATGAACCCGGGAGGCTGAGGTTGTAGTAAGTCGAGATCGAGTCACTGCACTCCAGCCTGGGCAACAGAGCAAGACTCCATCTCAAAAAAAAAAAAAAAAAAGAAAAAAGAAAATCACTGAGGCTTAAGCCCCATTAAGATTGCCTGTCTCTGTCTCAGAACAAGAATGTACCACAGTAGCAGAGTATTGGGAACATTTTATGACATGTAATGACTACACAGCAAGTATAGATACTCGGGGAAAACCTCGGTGGTCTCCTGAGTTGGGTCTTGGTGGTTGACTGTCTGAGTGTCAGCTCTGGCACTTTAGACACAGGAGGTTTACAGAAAGAATGCGGGTGGCGATTTGAATTCTTTATTTTTTTGTCTTTTTCACTTCGTTCTACAGAGAGATTTATTTATTTATATATTCATTTATTATTTTTGCTTCATATCTGTGTCTTTATTTGTTCTTAAACATAATTTCAGTCCGTGTGATGCTCTGAATAGATTCTGACAAACTTAACTGGGGCAGGCAACTGGGGAAGGTCGTCGGTGACTCACACGCTAACGATGGAAAGTGGCTGGTCCTTTCAGCTTCATCCCTCCATCCACGGCGTGTTCAAGATCCCAGGAGCTCCAGCTCTCACGCCTCCCTTTCAGAACAAAAGGGTCCTGCCCAGGGAGATACAGCGTCTAGGCCCACACAACACAAAGCAGCTGAGCTGGGAACTCAGGAGGAAACACGCGTTGTGGGTGCCTGGGTGAGTTCACCGGGGCTACCACAACCCAGTAACACCGACAGGGTGACGTGAACCAGAGCAATGCACTCTCTCACCATGCTGGGAGCCAGAAGGTGGTTTGACATTCCTGCCTCTCTGACAATGCGGGGAGCCAGGGGTCCCAGATCAAGGTGCTGGCACGCTTCATTCCTTCTGAGGGCTTTACAGTATGACAACTTTTACTTGCTATTCATTTGTTACTTTTTGTGTTTAGACATCTTTATGCCTTTGTAAATACTTTCGTTTATTTAGTTTACATGTATTTCATATATTTATAATGCTTTTATTTCTTCATTTTGTTTATATATTTTTATAGATTTATATGAGTTAGCTTATATGTATTTTTATATATTTATAATTATTTTTACTTATTTAGTTTATATATTTTTATAGATTTATATTAGTTAGCTTATATGTAGTTTTATGTATTTATAATTATTTTTACTTATTTATTTAGTTCATATATGTTTACAGATTTATAACTATTTTTATCAGTTTATTTAGTTCATATATGTTTACAGATTTATAACTATTTTTATTTACCAAGCTTATAAAAATGTATAGTTTTAATTATTTTTATTTAGTTGATATATTTTATAGATTTATAAATATTTTAATTTATTTTGTTTATATAAATTGTTATATACTTATAATTATTTTGTTTATATAAATTGTTAAATACTTATAATTATTTTTATTTAGTTTCTATATTTTCATCTTTATTTTCATGTATATTTTTATATCTATTTTTATTTAGTTTCTATATTTCAATATATTTGTAATTATTTTTATTTATTTTGTTTATGTATATTTTATATATCGATAATTATTTCTTAGTTTATATTTTCTATATATTTATTTTAATTTATATATTTATAATTATTTATTTATGTTTTCATATATTATTCATTGTATTTGTTTATTTTGTTTATGCATATTTGCATATTTATAATTGTTTTCATTTATTTTGTTGATATCTTTTTATATATTCACAAGTATTTTTATTTAGCCATTTAGTTTACATGATTTTATATATTGAGAGTTATTTTTATGTAGTTATTTCATTTATCTATTGAAGCTAACTTGGGAGAAGCGGGAATTCCTACAGAGGAGAATGAGATGGAAGCGATAATCACAGAAATGGCAGGAGATAACAGCTGTCAGTCAAATACATTTTCTGAAAAATGGCTACCTGCTGGGTTCTCACTGGAAATTTAAAAGAGAATCAATTGTAGACAAATTCTGGGAGAATGTCAAACAAGGAAAAATAAAGAACATGCTGAGACTAAAAAAAAAAGGTAGAACCTATACCGTTTTCACTTCATTTCAGCCACAAGAAATGACATAGTAATATTGAGTAGTCAATATACTGATAGAAAAAAAAAATCCTTCTCAAGAATTCTCCGAGATCACGGTAGAATTATATATATATATTTCAAAATTTTGCGAAAATAATTTTAAATATAGTTTATTCCATTAACTGTATTTCACTTGGTAATTGTGACATGCTACAAACCCAAGGTGTACACAGGAAACTACTTTCTCTTTTTTTTTTTTGAGACGGAGTTTCGCTCTTGTTACCCAGGCTGGAATGCAATGGCACGACCTTGGCTCACCGCAATCTTCACCCCCCGGCTTCAAGCAATTCTCCTGCCTCAGCCTCCCGAGTAGCTGGGATTACAGGCATGCACCACCACGCCCGGCTAATTTTTGTATTTTTAGTAGAGATGAGGTTTCATCATGTTGGCCAGGCTGGTCTCGAACACCCGACCTCAGGTGATCCGCCCGCCTCATCCTCCCCAAGTGCTGGGATGACAGGCGTGAGCCACGGTGCCCGGCCAGGAAACTACTTTCTAAGTAAGCGAACAAATTGCAAGTGGAACGGTCTAATCCTCTAAATCAAACCGTTTTTGTCATGGGTGATATCTGCCTTGGGAGTCGTTAGGAAAGTGTAAAGAGGGCTGATTCTCAGCATGCACTTCAAAACGCCTCAAATACCGAAAGCCAAACAGATTATGATGGTTAAAAGTCTTGCAAACATTCACAGCACAGCGAGCTCAGCCTTCTCGTCAGCTCTATCAAGCCACAGAACAGGAACAAAATATCTTTAATAGGATTTTCTAAATACAACCAAATCGTGTGCGTATTGCTCTCTGAGGGATGAAAACTCTTATGAGTTTATTTTAATTTGTTTGCTATTTTTCCTCTGTAGATGCTGGCCCTGTAACTAGGGGAAACATCTTTTGCCACATTGCAATTTAAACTGGAAGACTTTATACTTACAATATTTTCTAAAATCTCCCCGGTTGATATATGCTACCAAGAATCATGTCCAGTTGGGAAGGAGACCAACCTAGGAAGAGATACTTGGAGAATGATTGGATGAATCTGCTGACATCTTTATCTCTTGTAAGATATTTTGTTCCTGTTAGTTCCTATCACTACTTGGCTACTAAGTATTGCTGTGTCGTTTCTTGTGGTTGAAATGAAGTCAGAACAGTATAGGTTCTACAGCTGGTTTTTAAATCTCCACATAAACACTTCTTTTTTTTCTTGTGTGACATTCTACCAGAATATGTCTGGAATTGATTCTCTTTTAAAAAGCATGGGTGAATACGGTCCTGGGGAGTGTGTGTGTGTGTGTGTGTGTGTGTGTGTGTGTGTGTGTGTGTGTGTGTGTGTGTGTGTGTGACAGAGAGAGAGAGACAAAGAAAGAGAGAGAAGGGAAGAGAGGAATAGAGAGGAGGGAGGAGAGAGAGAGAGGAAGAAAGGCAGAGAGAGAAGGAGAGAGAAAGATAAAGGAAGAGAGAGGAAAACAGACAAGAAGAGGGACAGGAAGGGGGAGGGAGGGAAGAAGAGAGTGAGAGAGACAGAGAGGGAGGGAGAAAGAGAGGAAGAAGAGAGACAGAGAGAGGAAGAAAGGCAGAGAGGGAAGGAGAAAGAGGGAGGAAGAGAGACAGGAAGGGGAAGAGAGAGAAGAGAATGAGAGAGACAGAGAGAGAGAGGGAGGAAGAAAGAGATGAAGGGGGAGAGAGAGACAGAGGAAGAGAGGAAGAAAGAGACGGAAGGAGAGAGAGAGGAAGAGAGAGAGGAAGAGAGAAAAGAAGGGCAAGAGAGAGAGAAGAAGAGAATGAGAGAGAGAGGGATGGAGAAAGAGGAAGGGGGGAGAGAGACAGAGAGAGGAAAAGAAGAAGAAAGAGAGGAATAGAAGGAAGGAGAGAGAGAGAGGAAGAGACAGGAAGAGAAACAGGAAGAGGGAGAGAGAGAAGAAGAGAGTGAGAGAGAGACAGAGAGGGAGGGAGGAAGAGAGAGAGGAAGGGGGAGAGAGAGAAGAGAGGCAGAGAGGGAGGAAGAAAGAGAGAGAGGGAGGAGGAGAGACAGAAAGCCAGGAAGAGAGAGAGGCAGAGGACAGAGAGAGGAAGACTAGAGGGACAGAGGAAATCAGAGGGAGTGGGAGAAAGAGACAGTGGGAGGAAGAGAGAGGCAGAGAGAGAAAAAGAGAGAGAGGAAGAGAGAGAGAGAGAGAGGAAGAGAGAGAGAGAGCACAGTGCATTCTACAAGCTACTTAGTGGCAAAGCAGATTCCTAACTTGGGCCCAGGCCTGCACATTTAGGGACTAGGAAAGGCGATTTCCGGCTATGGTGCTATGTCTGTGCCCGCTTTGTCTTGGGCGCACTGCAACAGAGAATCAACTGAGGACCCTTCTTCAAATGCACTCACCTGAGTCTACATAAGGCTGAGACCCAGGAGGGAGGGTGCTGGACTTGGGACCACTGGGAGCCCATTTGCTCCTCAGCCAGGGATGCAGGCAGAGCAGGTTGGTCGGGGCAGGGATGCTCTGCTGAGCGTGAACCCTCAGGGAATTGTACATGAAAGTCAGATCCCCGTGAGAAGAGGAAAGAATGCCAGTTTCTCTGAGCTGTGGAGGGTTTGCTCTCTACCCAGCCTTGCTCGCAGCTCACCGCCAGACTTACCAGCCTCCGCCTCCACAACACCCCTTGAAGAAAGACACACGTCAGGCTGATATTTCTAAAGGAGGAAACTGAGGCAGGTCCTTGAGTGACACTGGCAAGGTCACATGTGTCTTCTACTGAGGAGTAATAGTACTGATAGCCATAGTGGCAATAGCAGCTGTAACAATACTAGTTGTAACAGTAGGAAGATTTGCTGTGAGCGTACTTGCAATGGTTACAGTGGTGGTATAGTTTTATTAGTTGTAGTAGCAATGCCAGTTTACGAGCTGTAGTAATAGCAATAATTGCAGTAGAAGTAGTTGTAATAATACTAGTAAATTTTGTAGTAGTACTGGTACTTTTAATAGTAGTTGTAATAATAATAGTAGTAAATTTTGTAGAAGTACCGGTAGTTTTAGTAGTAGTTGTAATAATAGTAGTAAACTTTGTAGTAGTAGTGGTAGTTTTAGTAGTGGCTTTAATAGTAATAGTAGTAAATTTTGTAGCAGTATGGTAGTTTTAGTAGAGGCTTTAATAGTAATAGTAGTAAATTTTGTAGTAGTATGGTAGTTTTAGTAGTAGCTTTAATAGTAATAGTAGTAAATTTTGTAGTAGTATGGTAGTTTTAGTAGTGGCTTTAATAGTAATAGTAGTAAATTTTGTAGTAGTATGGTAGTTTTAGTAGTGGCTTTAATAGTAATAGTAGTAAATTTTGTAGTAGTATGGTAGTTTTAGTAGTACTTCTAACAGTAATAGTAGTAAATTTTGTAGTAGTAGTGGTAGTTTTAGTAGTAGCTTTAATAGTAATAGTAGTAAATTTTGTAGTAGTATGGTAGTTTTAGTAGTGGCTTTAATAGTAATAGTAGTAAGTTTTCTAGTAGTATGGTAGTTTTAGTAGTACTTCTAACAGTAATAGTAGTAAATTTTGTAGTAGTAGTGGTAGTTT